CCAACCAACCGCTACCTAAAGGCATCAAGTTTTCTGTCATTACTGCTTTATTTATTTATATGTACAAAACCCAGACATATAACAAATAACATATAGTAGTATATTTTTTTTAGATTTTATCCATTTAGATCCATAAAACTCCTTGGAACAAATGAAAATGAAACTGAGAAAAACACCTTCTTACCTGGTAGATATCAGAGAGACTGCTGCTTCCAGAGTCACTAGTGATACTACATCCTGAATGGCTAGAAGAAACGTGGGTCACCTGTGGGTGGAGACTGTCAGCAAGGTGCAGCTTTGTGAAATCTGCAGGAAGCTATGGAAGGAGCAGGAAAAACTAAGATTACAATTTGAAATATGATTTTTTATATTCTATTTTATATATACTAAAAAAGTAAAGATACTTTAAAAAATTATAAATGACTAGATATTCTTAGTCATCAGGAATCACCAATTTTTTCCTATTTTTTTTAAATGCATAAGGACATAATAAACCTTAAATCATAATAAACCTCATACTTATTATCAGTGAACTTAATGATTAATATTTTTCATTTAACATTTTAATTCAATGAATTTTCATATTACACATCAATGTGTGAATTAGTTTACTGTTATTTCTTAGCAATCACATAAGGCAACTTTCTGGCAATATACAAGAAAACAGATCTGAGGTTCCTGAATGCCCAAATGATGTTTAAATGGGGGTGTGTGTATGAACATTTTGAAACTGATAAAATGGAGAAAAATATGTCTTGAAGAATTTATAATCTAGTAGAATATAAACAAAATTATAGGTAAATGCATACATATACAAATAAATATTCTTTTTCTCCTTATTCATATTTTAAACTCTAAAGGAAAAAAGTCACTAGTAAAAGAAACTGATCAGAAAACATCTGTTGAGGGGAGCTCTGGTGGCCTAGTGGCAAGAAACTGAACTGCAATCCCAGAGGAAGACGGTTCGAATCCACCAGACGCTCTGCCGGAGAAGGAGGCGCAATATCCTCCTGTACCAGTCAGATCTGATTTGACGGTACACGTACACAAAATTAAAAAAAATAAAAGAAAACATCTGTTGAAATTTCCATTTTCCACCTCTCATAATTATGTAACAGAGAATATGCATCAAAAAAGAAAATATCCATTCATTTGTTCCTTGAAAAAATATTTACTAAGCCCCTTTTCTCTGACTTTGTGCTAGTCAGTATGTGAGACATCAAAGAAACAGTATCCTTAATAAGCTTATACTTTTCTAAGTTATTACCAATTCTTTTGAAGTAAAAATAAAAACAACATGTGTACACAGTAGCACAATTACCACATTATCGGCTAACATAGATTATATCTCAAAATATATTCTACCTCCATTGATGAAGCACTGGTAACATTCTTACTTTTCTACCTGACTTCCATTAAATTGATTCCACATCATTACAACTTTATGAAAAATGGTCCTATTTAGCTGGTGAATAATAATAGACTTACTTTTTAAAATAATATTAAAAGTTTATCTTGGCTTATCTCTCTTTTGGTCCAATCCCTACACTCCCCCAAGAAAACCAGTGTCATTTCATAGTTTGGAGGAAACCTCAAAACTGAGGTGATTAAAAGTTTATGACAATTAATGGTTTTTGAAATCTCAAAGTTCTAAAAGAATATGCAAAATGTCTTTATAAAGCACAATCATTCACAACTGATTTTATGAGTTTTTGTCCCTCCTTCTTACTGTAAATACTAAGATTTAGTAATATTTAAACAAGGCAATCTATACAAGGAAAATATTTAACAGTAAATATATTATGTGGCATATAATTGGAAATCAATTAACAGTGAAAGGCACAAACAATGAGGGTGACCACAGTAGTGAGGTGTTTATTTATAGGTGTGACATCACAGCAACCATGGCCTAACCACTCACACTCATTGTCACTGAGTTGGAGCTAACTCATAGCTAACCCTTCACTGTGTTTCCAAGGCTGTAAAGCACACAAGAGAAAATTGCTCATCTTTTCCCCAGAGAGCCATTAGTAAATTCCAACTGCCAAAGATGCACTGCCTGCAGGTTAGCATTCTAACCCTCTACAGAGGAACTATGCTACCAGAACTTCTTTTACATAAGAGTGTTTTTTAGAGATGTGATGGTGATATTATTTTAGTGTGCTATTGATTCTGAACTGACTTTAATAGCTGATCCTCCAGGAGGTTTTGAGCAGCAGTATAGCACATGGGAGGAGATTGCCCATCCTTCTCCCATGGAGTACTTGGTGAAGTTGAACAGTGTAGCTTTGGTTAGCAGCACAGCTCCTTACCACTAAAGCACCAGAAGTGATAGTTACTAAAGCTCCACAGAAGTGATAGTTTCAAGTTATAGATGAAGATATCATGAAATATATAAAATTCAGAATAAGAATGATTTCCTTATATGCTAGAGAGGTCCCTAAATATTTCTAAATTGAGAATACATTATTTTATTAACAATGTAAACTAGTAAAATATTTACAAGGATGAATGTATACATGACTCTTTCACCTGCAGTTAAGCAGTAGCTATCAGATATTTTAAAAAAGTGTTCAAAACCAGGATAAATATCATCCATCTTCTTAACTACACTTCAATTTAATTTAGTCACTAACCACAGAATGCAATTGAGGAAACATTATTCTATGGCTCACTGATTTTAAAAGACATCAATCAATACATGTAATTACTGACTAATAAACATATTTCTATTGATCTTCTCTTACAAACATGGCTTGAGTTGGTGTATGCTATGTAATATGATTTTTAATTATACTCTAAGCAATGTCAAATATGGTATATCTAATGAAATATAATTCACTAAACTACTATTTATTATTATCTCATAGGAGTCTATTCTCTTAAGCTTCTAGTAAGTGGCCATCACTCCTGGCTAAGAATTCACTTCATGGACAGCACTGAGAGCTGTAAGAGCACCAAGCATCATAGAAGAGAGATGCAGGCCAGCCTCCAGAGACCACAATCTATTCATCCATGCCTATTATAGCCACAAACAGCAGAACAGCATGATTGTGCTTGCTTACAAACCTTAATAAAGGCGGTCTAAAAGAAAGAAAAATATTTTTGCCTCTAACAATTCAATTCTATTTACTAAGTGCTTATTGAGCTCCTCTTATGAAAAACACTTCGTCATGGTTGCAAATATAAAGGTGATATTTCCAATTCCAAAGATAATTTCTAAAATCCATTGTGATAGGTGTTATGAGTGATAGAAAAATAAACTAGACCTAGTTTTCCAAAGTTTTTTCCCACCACCTCCTGTGTTCTTTAAGGAACAGCATGAATTATTTGGTTTGATTTTTTATGAATCATCATTATATATAATTTATATTATTTAAATACCTCTTTAAGACATTTAAATACAGATGTCAATTTAAGAAAAGCTAAGTCTATTAGAAAAAAAGATAGAAAATATTATAATATTATCATCTTCCCCCACCCCCCCAATAAAAAGTGCTAACAATGCTGTAAGAAGTTGTAGAAAAGCAAACAGCTTTTGGGAATGGCAGTGAAATTAGTAATTTGGCCTAACCTGAAGTCCTACTTAGGGGCAAGGGAGCTTTTAAGAGACAAGTGAGAAAGACAAAGATATGAAGATGCAGGCACACAGGTTTGAACCAAAGGGAATGAAGAGCCTTCTTGGAATAGACTCAATCATTTCTCTCTAAGATAAATCAAATAGGCACACCATGCCAAAGATATTATTATTATTATTATTACTATTATTAGGTGTCATCAATTATGACTCACAGCAACCCCATAGACAATAAATCTGAACCCATTCTATCCTGTGCCAACCTATAATTTCTGCCACACTCAAGCTGATTGCTGTAGTCACTTTGTCAACTTTCCTGGTAGAGGGCCTTCCTCTCCTTTGCATCCTTCCAATTTTCAAAGCATGATGTTCTCCTCTAAGGAATATAGCCTTTCCTAGCAATGTGCTCGAAGCATGTGAAACAAAGCATTGTCACCCTTGCTTCCAAAGAGCAATCTGGCTTCACCTTTTCTGGCTTCACCTTTTCTAAGACATATGTTTGTTCTTTTGGTAGTACTGGGGATATTCAGTACTCTCCTCCAACACCACAACTCAAAAGCACCAATTTTTCTTTTGTCATCCATCTCTCAGATGCATAGCAAATAACTGAAAAGATCATGGTCTGAATCAGACATCCTTGTGTGTTAGCATAAAGTTGGCTATTTTTAGCCATTACCTTTGCACCCTCTGGTCTCCAGCTACCTTAACTGTAGACACACGGTCTTGCAAATCATCAATAGCTGTGGGACTGAGTAGCAAGACTTGAGGGAGACTAGAACAAGACCCTGTTGAAGTTGAGACCCTGGTAATGGTGCAGGAGACACTGTTGCATTTTTGTGGAAAAAACTGTGGCAAGGTATAACCAGACTAGCCCTGAGATAAAGGCCACAGTAAAAGGGTCTTTGCTGTTCTTGTTGAATGCTTGAAGAAAAAGCTAATTTATAACTGTTCGGGATGACTGAGAAAACCAGAGGCTTCTTGAATCTGTGTTGCTGACCTGAAACTGGAGCCTGGAGTTAATTGAGGAACTGTGAACTGGGACTTCTGGGCTAAAACCATTGCATACTGTCTGATCAATTCTGATAGGATAGAGCAGAATAGTCCAGTAAGGTTTCCAAGGATGTCATCACAAGATTAATACATTTTTCTTCTGCAGTGGCCAGGGACTCAAATTGCCAACTAAATAATCACACATTATTAAAAACTGATTCCATGTTAATATACATCAGCCAAACAATTAAATGTGTGCCCCCCCACCCCCTCATATCATTATTGGTACTCTGAGCCTTCTTTATACTTTTTCTTTTCAAACTCTGCAAGGTAGAGCCAGAAGTGATAAATCCTTTACTAAAGATGGCTCCTATTTCCCTGTGAGACAGAGACTCATGCCATATATTCACCACTTATTGAAAGTGCATTATGATGATTAAATGAATTAATTAATGGGCCTACAGTAGAGTGGTTCCTGGCATGCGGAAATCACTACAGAACTATATAAACTATATATAAATGACTTGTGGGAGGCAATGGTCCTTTCTATCTCTAAAATTTCTGGATCTGAAATACAAGAATAGGTGTAAGTGGGTTAATGGGCTTTTCCCAGATAAGTCTTTCCTTTTCAAAGTCATTCAGCTAGAGACACTATTCTTATGATACTCTAGAATGCAAGCTGATCTGGTGTATTGTTTCAAAAGCAATTTGTCACCCAATTCCAGAAGTATATGTAGTCATACACACCA